GTATATATTAATATGTACTTTGCCGTTGTTGACATAGCCTTGGCCTGCTGATGTAAATGCTCAAATAGTTATACATGTACAGGGTGTCTCAAAAAAACCCAAAATCATTGAAATTGACGTATTGTTCGATATTCAATGCCCCAGCACTAAGTTAATCCCACGAGTGCATAAAAGATTGACATAACTGCTATAATGAATGGTAATACTCAGCGTAAACTTGTTATGTCAGGCATAAAGTACTAAACCCACGAATGCATATTACGCATATTACAATTTACGAAGCATTTTTAAATTCCCATGAGTAAACAAACGTTCACTTTACAAAGATATTTTAATTTTTTAAAACAAATTAATCACCCTGTCAAAATCCTTTGTGTTACGGCATTGAAATTCGAACAATACGTTATTTCAATGATTTTGGGTTTTTTTGAGACACCCTGTATAGTGAAAAAATGCCCTGGGGCCGGTTGTATAAAACTCTTAATCGCTTTTTTAATCACTATTTTGTAGTTAAATATAGTGATTAACTCTCAAATACGCGCTTCTTATTGGATGACGTTTCCACTAACTATAGTTAACTTTAATCACTTTTTTATACAACCGGACCCTGCAATGCTAATTTGTTCTCATTGAACCAACTTGACTACAGTGAAGTCTTATTAGTAACTTATTACTTAAATTCATCGTCGCCATACAATGAAATGCATTTTAGAATTCCAACCCATTTGGCTCGTCTGCTACTGTGCCATCTAACGATTTAATAAGATTCGGCTACTATTTAAATACAACATATAGAGCCAGGGAATTCGCCACAGGTTTCCCCAATTACGGCGATCCCATATAAACAAGAATTAAATTACTGTACAAAACAAACACAACAACACAAATGTTCAAGCATTGGCATTGACATGGTCACAATGGATCGTTATATTCATTTCAATGCGGTGAATTTTCAATGCAGTGTCAGTGAATCAGATTTATAAGGATTTCTTAATTTTTTTTTCAAATTCTGCTGAAAAAATTCTAAATTTTGAAGATACACTTTGAGTCTATCAAGGAACGAGGAAAACCATTAAAGGCTATGGCCCATGGTCTGTTATATGTTCTAAACTATGAAAATACGCAACCACAACTGATATTTTTTGTCCTATAATTTGAAGCGTTCAGATTTCTTTATCGGTTAATTAAATTTCCACACAATCTTTTTACTTTGTTTCAATAGCATGGGATTACACAGCAATGGAAAGGATTGAATCTTAGATAAAAGACGAACCACTCTCGTAAAACATCCCATTCTTTAATAATTAATACTAAGAAAAAATGAATGAAGTTGTGAACGCCATCACGTATAGCTTGTTTTCGAGGCCAGGGGAACAATATGCGAGTTGGCACATTATCCGCGACATGGGTAGTGTCCACTGTCAGTGAGCTTTACTATACAACACATGAATATAGTATAGCCATCAGTGAGTATAGCTCAGTGGTTGTGTCTCGAGAGACATCAGCTAGCTGATCAATCCGCTAGGATCGGCGCCGTCGGAAGCGTGTGGGGGGGTCGGGGCAGCCTTGCAATAATTTCCTCATCCATGATTTGTACTTCATTGCAAACTTCAATACTTCGAAGAATACTTGTCTTCTTTCTTGAACATGTAGTTACAATAAACTCATCTTTAATATTTTCTCGTTAGATTGACATTGTGAAAATATCAACAGGAACAAAATCAATTCATTCATGGTTGTAATTGCATACATTGTTTCAAAACTGGGGTATGAAAGGAATAAAGTGCATTTACAAAAACTTGAATTTGTAGATGCAAAAGCCACAACTTTGATCAAAATTCCTCTCAGGAAACACAGAAATCCTTTTTCTAAGGCTTCGAAAACCGGGGGGGATGGTTCGGAGGACAGTATCCACTAGAGTTGTGCAAATCCGATCCGAATCCGATCCGATCGGATTCGTTCGGATTTCGGTACCAAAATATTCACTTCGTAGTCGGATCGGACTTCGATATCCGAAATAAAATGAATTAATTATCCACACATTTTAATATCGCAAGAATTAATTATCCATGCATTTATCAAAGCATTATCGCGGTTGTCGCTGCATTATTCGTTTGATACTTCAATTGGACGTCACTTTATCAGCTTCTTGGTTAAATATTTCAACTTGAATGAGAAATTTATGCATGAGTCAATTCCTGGAGTAACCATCCCCCCCCCCGGGACACCCCCGGGAATTTGCCCGATAGACAGTTCACGGGGGTCGGGAATTTGCCTTTCATATATGTGCACGGGGGCTGGGTATTGGAGGACCCCGGGGATTTGACAAATGGTTGACCAAAATCCCACCCACAAATTTTAAGGCAGCAAAACCTAGTTTCAGGCACGCATGTGGGCGCGCTGATCGTATTTTGCGCCTTCGTGGCCAAGGTGGCGTGAAATTTATTGTAAGAATAAGCGAAAATTATACCCTGTGCCATGCAAATTTAAATACAGCTATTAAAGGTTTATGTTTTACAATATTCCATAGCAGTTTAATACTATAATGTTATTAAATGACTATGATTATATGCCATTAAAAGTTTAATTAACGTTTACAGTCGATTTCACGAAACTTTGACCACAAATTTTCTGAACTTTGTTGCGAAGTTCACAAGATTGTTGCGAAGTTCAAAAGTTCATAATGAGATTCACAAACCAGTTCGTAAACTACGCATTTGATTGGCTTCTTTTACTTCATGGACCAATCAGGGACTTTGTTTACAAATTGGCTTGTGAATTCCAAATTGGCTTGTGAATTCCAAATTGGCTTGTGAATTCCAACGAACTTGCGAACTTCGCAACAAAGTTCGGAACATTTGTGGTCAAAGTTTCGTGAAATCGACTGTAAAATCGTCCCCGGGGTGGGGCATTTTCCACTCTCAGCTTGCCCAGGGGCCGTGCAATAGTCTTCAAATTGTGTCCCGGCATCCGGGCATTTACACTATCATAACCAATCAAATCAAAGGCCCGGGTGTGTTCCCGGGAGGGGGGGGGGGAATGGTTACTCCTGGAATTGACTCATGCATTAATAGATTATGTGTTGTGTAATGTATTTAATTCAACCCTACTAGGACTCTGGGCAGAATACCTACCAAGCCACTCAAACATGCTTTTTGGGCCTCTATTATTACAATGATGGGCCAAACAGAATTGGTATGTCAGAATTAATATCCTATTTCTGTCTCTTATAGGTTATGGCACTTTCTTATGAAAATTCAAAGAAAAGTAAATGCCATTGTTGCTCCTTTGAATGCCAAGTTAACTTTGAATGCCATGAATGCCAACTTAACCTTGAATGCCATGAATGCCAACTTATCTTTGAATGCTATGAACACCAACTTGTCTTTGAATGCTTATATTGCGGTGCCCGTGCCATTTTTGGCACCGCATTATATTCTGCCTGCGAGTTTGTCCGTTTGTTTGTTTGTTTGTTTGTTAGTTCGCATCAATACGTTTCCTTAATCGCCTACCAAAAATTCCTTGCACGTGCTCGGAATTTATTAATTATTATTAATCGTGTACTCTCATGATGATCGACTGTTTGCTCAGCTTTATCTCTGGTTTTATGCGTCAAACAAGGACAAAAATACCACTGTTCGAATCAGCGTGAAAAGTTGTGTTTACGGATGGAAAATTGATTCCAAAATTGACTTCTATTCTAGCGATTTGTCGCCTTTGAAAGACAAAAGCCGCTCAAAATAATCCTTCACGTTTTCCGAATTCCTTTTTTCGAGGAAAGTTTTCTTTCGAATTAATCTCGAACTTTCACGATTGACTTTTTGCTGCGACTCATCTCTGGTTTTATGCGCCCAATAAGGACAAAAATACCACCGTTCGATTCAGTGTAAGAAATTATATTCACAGAAGTCAAATGTATTACTAAACTACAGTATTTTAGCGATTTATGGCCTTTGAAAGACAAGCGAAATTGTATTGTTCACAAATCGCTCAAAATTATTAAACTAATTAAAAATGCAATGCATTTGACCTTGATAACTTTCGTATTAATATTTTTCTGTGCTGGTGTTGTGTACTCAGGTGAATAATATGTTTGCGATGTTACTCTGAGTGCATATCCACACCGGGCGAGCTTGAAAAATATGCCCGGCCACGGTGGGATTCGAACCTACGACCTTTGGAATACTAGCCCAATGCTCTTCCAACTGAGCTACGCGGTCAGGACGCTTCGAGTAAGTGATATTTCGGAACAGTATCTAGTTCCTTCAATACCAATGTGTTCTAGTAATATGAATATTTTTCTGTGCTGGTGTTGTGTACTCAGGTGAATAATATGTTTGCGATGTTACTCTGAGTGCATATCCACACCGGGCGAGCTTGAAAAACATGCCCGGCCACGGTGGGATTCGAACCTACGACCTTTGGAATACTAGCCCAATGCTCTTCCAACTGAGCTACGCGGTCAGGACGGTTCGAGTAAGTGATATTTCGGAACAGCATCTAGTTCCTTCAATACCAATGTTACTCGAACCGTCCTGACCGCGTAGCTCAGTTGGAAGAGCATTGGGCTAGTATTCCAAAGGTCGTAGGTTCGAATCCCACCGTGGCTGGGCATATTTTTCAAGCTCGCCCGGTGTGGATATGCACTCAGAGTAACATCGCAAACATATTATTCACCTGAGTACACGACACCAGCACAGAAAAATATTCATATTACTAGAACACATTGGTATTGAAGGAACTAGACACTGTTCCGAAATATCACTTACTCGAACCGTCCTGACCGCGTAGCTCAGTTGGAAGAGCATTGGGCTAGTATTCCAAAGGTCGTAGGTTCGAATCCCACCGTGGCCGGGCATATTTTTCAAGCTCGCCCGGTGTGGATATGCACTCAGAGTAACATCGCAAACATATTATTCACCTGAGTACACAACACCAACACAGAAAAATATTCATATTACTAGAACACATTGGTATTGAAGGAACTAGATACTGTTCTGAAATATCACTTAATCAAACCGTCCTGACCGCGTAGCTCAGTTGGAAGAGCATATTGGGCTAGTATTCCAAAGGTCGTAGGTTCGAATCCCACCGTGGCCGGGCATATTTTTCAAGCTCGCCCGGTGTGGATATGCACTCAGAGTAACATCGCAAACATAACTTTCGTATTGTTGGTTTTCTCTTTTTCGTCCGTATACCAGTCGATTTGTCTCACTTTTCTCTTTATTTTGTTTGTAGTTTGAGCCCAAAATATTATATTTTGAAGGTTTTAATGTGCAATTTTAATAAGCGAAATTGTATTGTTTACAAATCGCTCAAAATTATTAAACTAATTAAAATGCAGTCCGTTTGATCCTTGATAACTTCGGAATTGTTGGTTTTCTCGTTTTCGGCCGTATGCCAGTGGATTCGTCTCACTTTTCTCCTCATTTTGATAGTATTTTGAGCCCAAAATATTTTATTTTGAAGGCTTTAAAACGCAGTTTTGATCCTAACGTACGGACAAACTGGCGACCGACAGGAGAATGTATAGCGTGCTAAATAAAATAGGTACGCGACGCGTACATGTATCTGCGAAAAAACTTGATCACATTTTGTATTTTCTTGCAAGAAACTGAATAATGAAGATGACATGGGACAATTGAAATATTTCATCACTTATTATAATGGCAGATAAGATTTAAAACAGGGCTGTACACAGCGGGGAGTGCAGCAGGGGGAGTGCAGCAGGGGGAGTGCCGCAGGGCAAGTGCTACCCACCCCCGCACCGAGAAAATTTAACCAACTTAATTTATGATGTGATCATGATTGTAACAAATAATTATGCAGTCAGGATATAAAAATTTCATGCAAACAATATTCAAAGTGTCTAGTATACAGCCGGTTATTCAGTAAACTGTCACCTGTCAATTCAATTCATACTCATCAAATTTTCAAAACTTTATTGTAATCATATGAAGCAAAAGTTATGTCACTTGTTGTTTACACTTGCCAATGTTAACTGTTGAGTAACATACACAAAATATTTGGTGAACATGTCGAAGATCACTGAATAATTGAGGATGTTTTGAAGGTCATGAGTGAAGTATATAATTAAATTCCAGTTCTGTGCAAAGTTAATGATATACTACACTGTTCGGTTTAACACGTACAGCACATTCACACAAAAACAATCGTGTTGTGGGAGATTATCGGTTTGAGTAGAAGGTATCACAAGTTTAGTTTTGTAGATTGTGTGCCATTGATCAAATCCACCATATAATATATGATTACTCATTGTAGCTGTTAAGTTATTTTCCATACCAATGAATTTAGGGCATGTAGTAAAACACTGACTACCGGGAACACCACCGGAACACCGCCAGAACACCACCGGAACACCACCTAACCCTAACCCCCAACCTAACCCAAACAAAATGGTGGTGTTCCGGTAGTCAGTGTTTTACTACATGCCTGAATTTAGGTAAGATTGTCTTGCAAGTTGGTTGTTCTGACAAAATTATCCAGCCAATATCCAGTACATTTATTCTTCATTCTTGTATTAATCTCTACAGAAAAATATTTATGTTAGAAAGCAAAATGACAATGTAATGAGGCTCGGGAGGGTGAGGATTCTTTTAATATTTGAAAATGTTTGTAAAAATTTTGTTTAATTAACTCTAATGTGTAAAACCAAAATGCATAAGTATTTTAACTGATAACATCTTCAACCGTTGCTCTAACACTACATTTGATGACAGCTTTATAGTTGGACTGTTGTTTTGAACAGAGTTATGGAGTCAATATACAGAAATACAGGACCAGGATTTAATTCAATATCTCCTGAGAACTGTCCAATAGGTTCCTTTGATATTGTTAACTGGCAATATTGCCTGCTATGTTTTCACTGTTTAGAATATTACAGAAGTCACAGAAGGATTGTTTTTAATACTGCATAAATCTTTTTGTGAACTATGTTGACAAATCATCGAAAATATCCAATATTTTATACAGTGTATTATATTAATAAAAAATTCCAGAGTGCATTCCATGTAAACTCTACACCGAAGATACGGCAATATTAACTATAAATAGTATAGTAAATATTTGCCGAACTGGCGAACTCATGTATTAATATAAAATATGTGCGACATATATTTGCACAAATTTGGTATTTAAATATATAATATGTGGTATTTGGCTACTTACCAGATGAGGATAAGATTCCATGTTGATAAATAACTTCGGAATAATATCGCAAGTAGAATGCCGATTCAAGATAAATTGATAAAAATATCAAGATATTTTTGAAAGAATATAAACACGATTTATACACGAGGCCTGACGAGGCTAAAGTATGCCCGTTCGCAGGTTAGATGCGGGCACGATGTAAACAATTGATGTAAACGAATCGCTGATTGGCTTAAATTGGCTTAAATTATATAAGCTCGTCGCTGAATGGCTATCTGCTAACATACGGTACGGTACGGTACGGTACGTTTGCGATAGCAATATATCTGCTTCGCAGATACAATAACTAGTGATGGGCGATACCAGGATTTTTAATTCGATACCGATACCGATACTTTTAAGATCGGTATCGGTCGATACCGATACCTATTTCGATACCAAAATGAACACAAAATTTCAATTTTCGATACCGGAAGTGAGTACTTAAATTGCCAGTATCGGCTACTTTCGACACCTGCCGGTCAGTGGAAAAACATTTTACATTGCTGTGTGCAACCTAAATAAAGCTATAAGAAAACCAAAAGCCCAAAACGTAATAAATATATTCTACACATGACTTGGTGCACCACATTTTGAATATTAAGAGTTATTTTAGTGGTTCATTAAGTCTTATTCAACCAAGAACTAAAATTAAACAAGTCGTCTAAAAAAGGGTGCAAGTATCGAACGATACCACGTCAGTAATCGATACCGATACCGCTGTTTGTGGTATCGCTGGTATCGAATACTGAGTACTCGGTATCGCCCATCACTAACAATAACTTTACTTGTGCATGTAGGCGGAAACGCCGAAAGTTTTATTTGTAGGCGGGCACCGCATTTTAGTACTGTGTCTGGTTTGGCTTCACTTTTCCGTCGCACCCTACATTGTCCGGCAGGCGGAGTGAACGCCTGAGTAGGCGTCTTGTTTCCTTTAGATTTAGCTTTATTGTAACTTTTTAAAGGTATAAAAAACGTGAAAACGGTGAATTACTATAATAGATTGAAAATGATTATTATTTATCATTTTGACGTTTGAGTGATTGAAATGAGTTAATTTACACTACATCGAATGTCATGTTGAATGTCATGTTGAATCTTATGGGTACTTCACAATGGTTGCTATTTCGTTGTATTAAATTTCAATAGTATGTATAAATACTATTTCCGTATAATTCAAATTTTGTTTGATATTTATATATCATGTTATTTACAAAATGTGCTGTATAGTTTTGAAGCTTTGCACACAATATAATCAGTGCGAGCACAATGGCTCCGTTTCAGTTTGAGTATATAAAAATCGAGTATTTTGATAGCGTTCGCGGCTTTGAGGCTTTCACGATATATAAATATAAACGCCTGATAATTGATAAATAATCACTAATCACTGCGAGTACAACGGCTCCAAAATCACAACAAATAACAGAATATAAGGTAAGCTAAAAACAGTAAAGCTTTACCTACCTCGATTTATTTTTCTAAAGCGCTCTATTATGTAAATTTTCGGCAAATAATCAATATTTCTTTGCGTTTCCTCGACGAAAACCCGGCATGAAAATGCTCGTCGGAAAAACTCGGTATTTGTCGTATTTTACGAATCTGCCACGTGACTGGTACGCTCACCGCTCACGACACGAAATTTAGAGCTATGTGAAAGTTGCATGCCATATATGGCATGCAACAAAAATTAAGAAAATTGAAGTGTGAAATTTTAGAGCTGAAACTTGAGGAAAAAGTAAATTTACAAAAATGTACTAAAATGTGGACGTTTTCCCCCCCAAAATTGACATAACTCTCTTCATTTCCATAGTCATGAACGCGGAACATAATGATAACACTCTCAAATCTTTATAATGTCAACGAGAGAGGGAGTTGCGTCAAACATAATTCTCTCATGTTAGTTCAAGGAAATGTCGGGAGAGTTAGTAAATTGGGTGTGGTCGTTGGGAAAAGTGGGCGTGGTTCGAGCACAACTCTCCGAACATAACTCTCCGACATAAATCTCCACTTCATAATTCTCCGTTTAGCTGGTCCCCCCAGTTGCCACAATTTCAAGTTTAATTTTTCCACTAGAGTGAGGCAGTAAATCGATGAACTAGAACAATGTTTTTTGAAAACCAATTCAACTGCTGTTGTTCTAGGAAAAGGACACGAAAAAAATCTGGAAAACTGTGTGAAACTCATATTGGAACAAAATGGCATCTTGTCAAATTAACGGTGCAAGTTCAACAGTTTTCTGATGAAACGTCCACCTTTCAAATGTTAAAAACTTGAGAAAATAGCACACCTAACTGCTTACACAGTAAGGCATTAATACAATTTTTTAAAACTAAAGTCTTGAACATATACACACCACACAAAAAGAAAGCCCCCCCCCCCTAAATATATCATTTAAAGTTCTAAATAAATGATTACCTGACAATCACACCTCAGCACTAATTAGAGCTATGGGTAGGTTGCTTTAATGTTGTTTGAAGAATGGGGCCATTCTTGCTTTAAAGAATGACTTAGCCTCCATTGAATACAAAAATATCCAATTTCAAAATTAACAAGAATGACTTATTGAAATTTCATACCCTTCATCAATGATTTAATAATGTGTGTAACCACCACGGCGGGTCTAAAACACAGGTCGCAACTGCGTCTAAAGAACATGCCTGTTCGCGGGTCACAGAGAATAGTGTAACACAATAGACAATTCCTATTATAAACTAATTTTAAAACTAGGCAAGGAGATGGAAATAAATCACTACAGCCAGAAAGAGCATACGAAAGTTTGGTTGCGAAATGTTGTAAAATGCAGAAAGTATAGCATTGCAAAATTTGCAAATTTCGTATACTTTTGTATTGCGTGCGAAAATCGCTACCATTTTCGGCCCAAATGTGGTAACAATTTCCGCACGCAATTACCACACTATTCTCTGGGATCTGCGAACAGGCATGTTCTTTAGACACAGCTGTGACCTGCGACCTGTGTTTTAGACCCGCCGTAACCACCACACTTCTCGATAACTTCAAGGCATCATCTCCTCAGAAAGAGAATGATGTGGCCTGGGACCTCGTCAGATCTCAATTTTTGGGACCAGCAAAAGTGCTCTGTCTATCGTGACTATCGTCAGTTCGAAGAATACAGCACTCTGGCTCAATTGTTGCAAGAGGAATGGATGGCTATATCTCAATGGCGGGTTTGCAGACAATGCCTTGAGCTGATCGAGAAGCATGGTGGTTACACCCATTATTAAATCATTGATGAAACATTACTGTTGCTGTGAAATTTAAATAAAGTCATTCTTGTTAATTTTGAAATTGAGCATGAATGACCCCATTCTTCACACAAAGCATTAAGCAAACTACCATAGGTTTACAAGTTAACTATGTCAAGCGTTCTTCTTTTGAGTTCCTAACTTGATTGCAATTTTCCTCATTACACCCTTGCATATCCCTTGAGGGAATTTGCAATGTTCCTGTTGGCTGTTGCGGTATTCCGTTATGCAGAGAAATTTCCTTTCAAATTTTCCTGACTTCTTGTTTTAATTTCCGGACTTCCTGTTCTGTTCTGAGCGTTCTCATTGGTGGATTATTTTTGTTAGCCAATTATAATGTACGCAACAGAACAGGAAGTTAGGAACTTGTAACAGGAAGTTACAAACTTCTAACAGGACATACATAACATACCGTCAAGGGATTTGCAAGGGAGTTTTTCACATTTGCAAAGGTAATGCAGAAAATTGCAATCAAGTTAGGAACTCGAAAGAGGAACGCTTGATGTAGTTTACCTGTAATTAGTGCTAGGTTTGATTTATCAGGTAATCATTTATTTAGAACTCATGATGATATATTTAGGGGGGACTTGCTTTTTGTGTGGTGTTTACCATGAAATTTAATCTGATTGTAGTATATTTTGACATAAGTTACAAAATGTTTTTCAGGTTTTTTCACACAGTTTTTACCCTGAGCCCAGTGGCGTAGCTAGCGGTCCTGCTGGTCCTGCCCAGCAGGACCAAAAATTTCCCCAAATTTCCTTACTAAAACACTGCTTTATTTATCTTGATTTGAAGCTTTAAAAATTCATCATTATCATATTGTTATTTTGTCTCATTTTCTTGTCTTTTTCGTTATTATTTTTTAAAACGTTTTCCACATTGTGTTATATTTACACAATTTTACAACTTGCCGTGTCTGTTACCTAACAACTGCAACTCTGCAATGATTTACACGCGCTCGTGTTTCAGTCCTGTCATTTTCAAATGGCAGGACTTGCTAGTATATTTTATAGTAAATTCATACAAGAAATCTTGCTTTCTGATTGGATAATTAGGTCTGCGCATGCTCAAACCGACTGTTTACAAATGCGAAGTCCTGCTCTCTCGAAATGGCAGGACTTGGCCTTGTATTGTCTTTACTTGTGAGCTTTCCGCGTGACTAAACCCACTATTTACTAATTCTGTCGAGATTACTAAAGTTATGAATATGGAAATCAACGAGTGTGGAAGCCCAATGTGATTTTGATATAATTTCTGGCTTCTGCTAAGATATTTTAGCTCACGAAATGCATGTGAACAAACTCGACTGACGATTGTGTATAATACAATATAATGGGGAATACAAACTTCATTTGTGAAGCCTGTCGTATTGATACAAAGTAAGAACGTAATATTTACTGCCAGTTCATCTGCTTCATGCATTGAAACACGAGCAACACGAGCACTTATATGGAGTTTAAAAAATGATATACTGTACCAATTTAATAGTCTTAGATTCACGCTGTTTATGTAGATATTTGGCCGCATGCATATGTAGATATTTGGCCGCATATGAAACGCTATATTAATACCACAGCCATAGGCATTGGCATAGCGTACTGAATTACATTCAGAGTGCCAGGCGTTGTGGTCTGTAGTTGATACCACTCCATTATATAAAGTTTAACACATTACTAACAAACGTAGTGAATTTTAACTAATGCTAGACATAGTGATAGTGTATAAAATATGGCGTGCCAAGATGGACAATATTACTTTACGTCCATTTATATAATGTATATTTCAAATATATAATTTCAAATCTATTTTTGTAAGCCGTAATTGCCATATATAAAACGAAACAGAAATACGAATCGCAAATATGGTATCAAGAAACGGCCCACTGTCAAGTTACGTTGAGCAACAACAAAAATATGCTCATATAACCTGCAACACCCTGATTTCATCAGGCCCCCAGCAGTGTGTGAGAAAACATTTTCCGCTTCTTTCGTACCTCAGCCAGCGGAAATTAACACTTCTCACACACCGCTCGGAGCTGCTGCAGCGTCAGCCGCAACCATACAACGCATAGAGTTATTTTATACAGTTTATGCCTTCTGCATTTAAATATTTTTGTAAGATGAAGCTAGTAAAGATTATTTTGACTCATCAATGTAATTGTTGTTTGTCTTCGCAGTACGCCACCCTCCTTGCCTCTGTAGCAGGCGGTCGGGAATACCCAGAGCAGCTGCAATTGTAGCACCACCAGATTGTAAACTGTGATGTCCGTAATCTTTAGCATCAAGACCTTCCTTCACTAATTCTTTCTTGAACAACTCACTAGCACGGCTGTATGTCATAGGTGTGCTCAGGAGTATCTGACCAGATTTGGAAGCCAGGAACCTCCATTTGGAGGCGTATCCAGAGTAACAAATATGGTCAGATACTTCTGAGCACACCTACGACATACAGCCGTGCTAGCGAGTTGTTCAAGAATTAATTACGGACTTCACAGTTTACGATCTGGTGCTACAACTGCAGCTGCTCTGGGTATTCCAGACCGCCTGCTACAGAGGCAAGGAGGGTGGCGTACTGCGAAGACAAACAACAATTACATTGATGAGTCAAAATAATCTTTACTAGCTTCATCTTACAAAAATATTTAAATGCAGAAGGCATAAACTGTATAAATTAACTCTATGCGCTGTACGGTTGCGGCTGACGCTGCAGCAGCTCCGAGCGGTGTGTGAGAAGTGTTAATTTCCGCTGGCTGAGGTACGAAAGAAGCGGAAAATGTTTTCTCACACACTGCTGGGGGCCTGATGAAATCAGGGTGTTGCAGGTTATATGAGCATATTTTTGTTGTTGCTCAACGTAGCTTGACAGTGGGCCGTTTCTTGATACCATATTTGCGATTAGGCACGAATGTTTCTGCGTTTTCGGGGTACCGACGATCAGGTGTGTTCAGCGCGTCATGTTCCGCGACCACACGAATTTAATTTCGGCGGTTTGCTTCTGTCTGACCATTCGTTCAAGGAAAGAGCGTTCGTATCGTTGCTTCCACGTCGTCTGTAGTTTCTTGCGTCTCCCCACTATTACGGGTCTTTGTGCTATCTTGACTCAATCGAGAAATTGCTTTCACAAGATTTGATAAACAATGCAGATTTCTGTTGCCCGCCATATTTGCAAAGGTGATTGCTAGATAGTATACTTCAAAATAAGGTTTCCGTTTTTATAACGTAGAAAAAACTATCCTAACGTAAAACTAAACCCTAACCCTAATACTAAACCTAACCCTAACCCCAACCTAAACCCTAACCTAAACCCTAACCTAACCCTATCTTATTTTAAAAATAGAATAAAAACGAAAATCTTATTTTGAAGTATACTATCTAGCAATTGCCTATTTGCAAAAGCGAGGTTTACAGAAAATTTACTCCGGATAAATTAGTCGCGCTCTTTCTCCGCCAAAAATGTCGTTTTATTTTAGTAAAATGTCGTTTTATATATTTGTAGTTTCGTTTTATATATTTGACGAATTTCGTTTTATATATTTGGGAAAATTCGTTTCATATATTTTGGAATATTTCGTTTTATATATATACTAATGTCATTTTATATATGGGTGTTTCGATTTATATATGAGTGTTTCATTTTATATATTTCTGTTTCGTTGTATATATTTCTGTTTCGTTTTATATATGGCAATTTCGGCTTACAAAAATAGATTTGAAATTATATATTTGAAATATACATTATATAAATGGACGTAAAGTAATATTGTCCATCTTGGCACGCCATAATAAAACGCTGTGTTATGTGTTGATCAAGTGAAAGGTCATATTACAGACGCGTATTGTATACATGATATTTTCCTCTTTAGACTTTCGTGATTTGACTATATTTAGCTACATTTTCACTTACGTTGAAAAATATATAGTGAAATATGATAAAAATGCATGGTTTCAAAAAACAAAATTTTTTCTAAAAAAATTATCAAAAATTTTCCGCTAATCACACAATTTTTTGATGTTCCCTTTGGAGTACTTCGCCTTGAAATCGCAGGAAATGGCCATTTCAGATTTCTAAAATTCAAAATTTTCCGGGGGAACATGCCCCCGGACCCTCCTAGAATGCGTGGGTCTTAGAGCAGGACTAGTCAAATTTCGCTGGCTACGCCACTGTACTAGTTTCAAGCCATCATTTCCTTTCATTTGAGTTTTTTTTTTATTATTTTATTTTTTTCTGACTGACTGACCCACCTTGGAATCAAGGGCAGATTTTCATTTTTCTAAAAGGACAGGAGGAAAAATTTCTAGTGGGGTGCAAGCAGCACCACTGAGCGAGCTTCGGCAGCGGTTATAGGGTTGAAGACTTTCACAGAAAATAGGAGGTTTTTTTTGGTGTAATTTTGGCAAGGTTGAACACTTTATAAGAGGGGTCAGAGAGATTCTACAGGGGTTTAACCACTCTTACAGTAAATCTGCCCATGCTTGGAATAATTTGCATGATGGAAAACAAAAATAACAATAGGTATGGCGCCAACCTCGTTCCCAAGGCTTTCAAGTTGTGCCCGAGGAAGGGAGAGGAGAGAAGAAAGCCCTTGTCCGTGCCGGCCACTTCTGAATAGTGATTGAATGATCACATCTGGAATATGATTGGTTAAGCTATATTATGCAATTATTTATCTAATGATTTATCATATAATAATTTAAAAGCATTGCAAAAAAAAACGTTCAAAATTATAAATTAAATTTCGATATGGCAGCAAAAGTTACGCCAACAAAATCTTATTTATGTGAATTTGGGGATGCTTGCCATCTTTGTAGTAGCAATGCCGATAATATTTAACAAAAATAAAACATTTTCCGTGTTGATATACAGTTATATCAACACGAGTGGAAATTGGGAAAACGAGAAATTGTGTGGAAACACGACGCCCGAAGGGCGGAGTGTTTTCACACAATTTCGAGTTTTCCCAATTTCCACTCGTGTTGATATAACTGTATATCAATACGGAAAAAATGTTTTATATTTGTTTTATAATATAGCAATGTCAAAAGCCCGAAGAATAAGAACAATTTCCATGTTACAAGCGGCGGAAAATTTCCCGTGTTGACATGGAGTTATATCAACACGGCTCTTAGCCAATCAGCGCTCAGAATTTACAAATGCTATATTATAAAATGAGATATACTGCAAATAAATAAAATTTGTCATCTTTGCAGCAGTGATGCCAATAATATATTGAGATATATTGCAAGTAAATAAAATTTGTCATCTTTGCAGCAGCGATGCCAATAATATATTGAGATATACTGCAAGTAAATAAAATTTGTCGTCTTTGCACTTGGTGATGCTAATAATATATTGAAATATACTGCAAATAAATCAAATTTGTCGTCTTTGTAGTATCGATGTCAAACATATATTGAGATATGCTGCAAATAAGTAAAATTTGTTGTTGTCTTTGTAGTATCGATGCCAATAATATATCGAGATATACTGTAAATAAATAAAATTTGTATGTGCAACATTTCTTTCAGTTGTACTAAATAAGCCCAAAAATCCATATACGATCCCTCATAAAGGTTCCACTATAAATTCAATTGCTTTTATATTGTAAACTCCTCGAAGATTGATTCCTATTTTATTTTCATTTGCGCATAAATTATAACTAAACACATGCATAACGCATAATAAAATTGCCCAAATAGTGGGCAA